AAAATTACTTTGTCTTTCGATCGTGTGCTCAGAAGACCCTGTGAGCTCAGCTTCGTTCTTTGGGAGCCTCAAGGGCCTTAGACTAGACTCACACCTGCATAATCTTGCTTTTGCTCTACACCATCCCAATATTTATCTATTATTTTAATTTTGCTTATTTCCTCCAATGTTGGAGAAATAAGCCAAAAACCACAGTCAAGTAACAAGAAAGGCATAATTCCCTAGAGACTTGAAAAAGACATCATTTGTTGCCTCAGTATGGCTGCCAGTCAGCCCCTTTGATGTAAAGCATCTGTCCTTGTCAAGGAAACAGGAAAGGTCTGGTTCTCCTTTCTAGTCTATGAAGTACGAAGCAGTGTCATTTGTTGTACAGAGCCACAAACCCCGTGGTACTGGGTTACAAGCTGCTGACTGCCTTGTTAACATGCTGCAAATTTCATCGGCTGTCTTTAATAAAAGAGGATGTGTGTCAGGGAAGACATCAGCTGTTGTGGTTGGGTTTCTCTTCCCCAGCCCATGAGTCACAGCTGGCAGAGAGCAATGACACCAGTATGTAATCAGCCAGTCACCTGGACTTCTTGCATTTTGATTACATAGCTAGGTAATCTTTAAGTCTGTTTAAAAACCTTTCCATGCTCTTATTTGATTATGAAAAGGGTTTTTATTCCCTATTTAGTCATTTATGGCTTCTGTTAATAAAGTTTTATTTCAACCTTATATAACTGCATGGCCAAGAGAATTCTACTTTATGGAGGATAGACATTTGATCTGACATTCTTTGTTCTGTAGGAACTTCATCCTCTTATAGGAAACGTCATCTCACAATATAAAACGGTGTAATCTAAGATCAGGAAATGGCCCCTAGAACAATGCTTCTTAAATTTTAATGAGTATACAGAGCACCTGGGGATCTTGTTAAAATTCGTTTTCTGATTCAGTGGTTGGCACCTGAAATTCTGCATTTCTGTCAAGCTCCCAAGTGATGCTGATGCTACTCCGTGAACTACGATTTGTGTAGAGGCTGGCAGACCTGAAGGCATTCAGTCCACTGGGCATCCAGTAAGCTACCCAGTCACTGCTGTGGAGGGGAAACACAGCAGGCTTAAAAAATAAAGCCCTTGGCTTTGAAGAAAGAAAACAACCATATAGAAAAAATAATCTATATTTAGTTTTATTCATAAATTTTTAACACACACATGAAATTGTTTATGTCAAAATAACTGTTGACACTTTCAAAGCAGTTACCTAAGGCAATGATATTTGTTACTTATGCCACATTTGAGCATACTGGTATGTAAATTTCATTAGTTTCCATTCATTCAAATAAGAAGCTACAGTGATGTTTTTAAAGCATTACATAATGTATGTTTGTAGGTATTAAAGTAAAAAACTTTTTTTACTCTATTAAGATAAACACATTTAAACCAAAATGTTACATCTGAGCATGGAAATCTGTAGCTGCTTAAAAATATTGAATGATGTTCTTAAATATGCACATTTTTAGTGTAGTTGGATTTTTAGTCTTTAGGGAACAGTTAATGAGTTATGTGAGCTTCCATGAGATCTATTATCCCACATTAACTTCATAATGTCAATTTTTGATTATTTTTGTTTAATGAATAACATGCTAGCGTGAATAATGCAAAATTAAAGTTATTCCAAAAACGCCATTATGATTAGCATTCAGACTCATTTTGATGGCAGATTTAACTTCCTAATTGCGTTTTCTTAGAATAATATTAAAATTTTTTCATCATTTGATGGCAGGGAGGTGACTCCAAAGTATTTGAAAGATTGAAGAACCCCAGGCTGCAATTTAGTAACAATAATAAAGCCTATTTATAGGCTTGGTCTACTTCACCACCTATTTTCACATCCATCACTTCCAGGTTTAACCGAAGACAGACTACAAAGCTCGTAAAAATAAGAGCCAATTCACAGATCCTCAGCATTTGGATTCAGGGGTCATTCAGGCACACTGACAAGGAGATTCTGCTTTGTGTTTTTGAGATGAGGAGGCTGAAGGAAAAGAAGAGGAAAAAGACAATTTTGTATTCTAATTTAATCTCAACAGCAGCCCTATGAAGCAAGTAGTGTTATCCAATTTCTAGAAGAAACTGGGGTCTCGAGGGCTCTCTCAACTTGTTCAAGTGCACACATCTCTTGGTGGAGCTGGCATTGGAACCTAGGCGTGTGACTCCATAACCTCTGAGTGTTTTTAATAATCCCCTGGAGTTGCAATTATAGTTAGATACAGACACTTTGATAATGAAGTGATTCAAGAAATAACGACTATCCCACAGAGCCATCTGGTTTCTCTCAGCCCCGTCGCTGGGCCTCTTCTATTTCTGGTTAGTAAGGAATGGTCTCCAACTGTGGTTCTCCCTCCTCATTTCCTCTCTTCCCACTCAGGATGGCAGGAAGTCTGAACATTTTATCTACTTAACATCTCTAGTAATTCAGGCTGTGAACACACTTCACCATCAGTTTAGTAGCTGTTTATTGATAGTTGTGCTAAACTCTGTGAGGAGACATAATTCAGAAATGTGTCCAGGTATCAAGAAATTCAAGATGATAATGGACAGTCTGATAAAAAAGTTCTTTTAGGAAGACAGAGTAGGTGGTGTTATTTTAGGTTTCCAGTGTGCAGCTATTCACTGCACATGTAATTTAGAGCTATGTTTATTTGGATTGGTGTTTAAAATTAGAAACTGACCATCTGTATTTTTCTTGATAATTATGGAGTCATCCTAACCAAAAGGTTTTTGAAAATCGGGAATAGCTTATATTTGCAACATTATTTTTGGAAAAGAATAAAGGATGCAGAAAAGTTGGAAAATAATGCCCAGTAGTTGAGGACTTAGAAAAATTTTGGTATGCATCCAGAGACATATTATGTAGCCATTGAAAGAAAAATTATAAAATCTGTATAGCAACATGAAAATCACAAACATGCATGTGCTAGACCTCAGGCAAAATGAAACGAGGAAAAGGGAACTTGACGTTTGTAGAGTGTCTGCTATGTGTGTGTACTGTGCTACATTTATTAATTTTCTCATTTTATCTTTCTAACATACAGAAAAGTTGATATTATTTCAATATTTCATAAATGAAATAATTGGGGCACAGATATGTTAGGGGACCTCACCAAGGTCACAGTCAGTTGTTGAGCAAGAACTCAATCCAGATCTCTTAAAATCCTAGTCTGATCATTTTTTCCAAGTTGGTTTATTCTGAACTATTCAACCCTCTCCCCAGCATTGTTTTTGGTTCAGAAATAATTCTTTTACAGTAAAGAGTAGAGTCACATGAATTAAGCTAAAAAATGTGTGAATTGTGGAACTACTAAATTGTAAAAATAATTGTGAATTAGGCTGTATTATAAGGTTGCCAGGACAGTGAATAGTTGATACCGTCTATAAAATGAAAACATAATCTTAGCATAAGCACTTTTAGTTTTATCTGATACTTGAAGTATGCATTTATGTAACTGCCAAATATTAGCTGCTTTCTGTTAGCCAGAAAGTTCTAGGGACAAGACAAGAACAGAACAGCTCTTATTTGTAGATAGCAAGCAAAATATTTTTTCCTTTGGGAAGGACTTATGTTGTTGTTAACTAATGTCTGAGAATTTTGGGATGGAAACCCTTGTAGTAATTAAACTAATGATATATAACATACTTTTTTTTAACTTTGCCTTTCACATGATAACTTTGTATTGCAGTTATCACACATTACAGAAAATTCCGTTTGAGGATTACTCAACTACTTTTAAACAAATAATATAAAATTTATGAAGGTTACATTTTTCTGTACCATATTTTATCTATTTTGATGTGTTTTTTTTTTTTTAATTAATTTATTTATTTATTTTTCCCCCACAGCCCCAGTAGATAGTTGTATGTCATAGTTGCACATTCTTCTAGTTGCTGTATGTGGGACGCAGCCTCAGCGTGGCTGGAGAAGCAGTGCGTCAGTGCGCACCCAGGATCCGAACCCGGGCCGCCAGCATCAGAGCGCACGCACTTAAACGCCAAGCCACGGGGCCGGCCCTATTTTGATGTGTTTTTATTTTGCTATATTTACAGTAAACGTTCACCATTAGAAGTTTAAAAACTGTTTGACTTAAAAATAAGGACTTTGTTTCATTAAACTACTTGGGTTAGATTTGGAAAGGACTTTAGTGGTTGTACTTGAATTTTTTTTCAGGGTTTTTACCCTAAAATTTTACAATATATTTTATTTATTTTTTTAAATTTTATTTATTTATTTTTTTTCCCCCAAAGCCCCAGTAGATAGTTGTATGTCATAGCTGCACATCCTTCTAGTTGCTGT